GCAGAGGACTCTGTCGGAAATGCGCGGAATAACGAGAGAAAGAGGTACGACGGGGGAATGCGGAGGCAGCGAATCGCAAACGGAAAGCCGAGGCGGACGCGAAGGCACTGACGTGCGCGGCGTGCGGTGGAGCGTTCTCAGATACGAGACACTTGAAGCCGACGCAAGTTGAACATCATAGAAAGGCGAAAGGAACCAAAGTGGTGTGCAGAGGCTGCGAGGAACTCGGGTTCAACGCGCGCAGTTACCAAGGGTATCAGTGCACCGGCGCATGCAAGAGGAGACTACCGAAGTCGGCGTTCCCCGACCCGCACAATGTCCCGCGCGACGCAAAGAAGGGCACTCTGAAGTGCAATACATGCACATGATGCCCAATCGGGCGCGCGTGCTGGGGAGAAAAAGGAGGACGGGGAGAGCATGATGGGGGGTGAGGCGGAGAATGGGGGGGAGAAGCATCGAAGAGGATGAGGTGAACCGGGGCAGGAAGAGGAGGAGGGGGACGACGAGGAGGTGGCGGAGGAGGAAGAGGAGGGGGGGCGCTGAGATCAGGCTCTGGGTTATGGGATGTGGGGTAGAGGCTTGTGGTATGTGTATGGGGAAGGAGGAGGCAAGGGAGGAGGGGGAGGGGGACGCGGAGACAAGGTGCTGGGTCATGGGTTATGAGTTAGAGGCTTCAAGTCTGTGTATAGGGATCTCGCGGCACGCCTCTGGGGGGCTCGAGGAGTGCAGTTTTGAAGCCACTGGGGGGCCGTTTCGGGGCCTCTGGGGGACTTCCACGAAGGCGCTGCAGCGCGTCGGGCAGCGCGCGAATGCTGTGGACAGCGGGGAGGAACAAAGCAGGAGACGGAGATGACGGGGGTGGAGGAGGAGGAGGAGGAGGAGGAGGAAAAGAAAGGGCAGGAGGAAGAGGAGGACGAGGACAAGTGAGGATTTTGTCGTGGATTCTGAGAAGGATATTTCTCGAATGGCCCGAGGCGCGCCCCGCGAATTCCGCTGCCGTGCCGGGGTTCGTGCTGGGATCTCGTGGTCGGCCTCTCGGATACCTCAAGTGGTACCGACCAAGTACCACGCGATGTACGTCGTCCGTGTGCCTCAAATGGTACCGCCCATAGTTTTGAGGCCCTTTGGGGGCTATTTTGGGCCTCGTGGGTGCCTCTTTTGGGCCTCTTGGGGCCTGCTTGGGGCCTCTTGGGTTTTTTTTGGGGGCCTCTTGGGGGACCTCTTGGGGCTTCCTGGGGGCGCCTGGGGGCCGAAGCCTCGAAATGAGATTTGTTTCCCCCCTCTTGGCCCCCTCTTGGGCCCGTCTTGGGGCCCTCTTGGGGCGTCTTCGGCGCCTCTAGGGCCGTCTTGGGGCCATCTTGGGCCGTTTTGGGGCCATCTTGGGGGCCCTTTGAACCGTTTCGGGGCGGTATTCAGGGCCTCGGGGGCCGTGTTGGAGCGTCGGAAAGCCGAAAAGGCGAAAAGGCAACAAACACTTTAAAACATAATTGAAATCACCAGTTTTAGCATCTCGGGGCCCTCTTGGGAGGCTTATGTGGGACCTCCGGGGCCGTGTTGGAGGCCTCGGGGCCCGATTTGAGGCCATCTTGGGCGTTTTCGGGCGCCCAATTGGCGTCTCGGGGGCCTCGTGGCCCGTCTTGGAGGCCACTTGGGGCCTTCTGGGCCCGTCTTGGGGCCCTCTTGGGCCCGAAAATGCTCCGTGAGTCGCTCGTGCCGGGCCGGGGGGGGGGGGCCATCAGGGGGGGGTCAAATCGCCGGCTTGGGGGTCCCAGGGGGGGACTAGAGGGGGGGAACTATCTCACACGCCTAGAGACCCACAAGGGGTCGGCGGATTTGAGTAGGGCATCGACTATAGAATGGATTTACCCCAATATTAATTTGTTCGTCGAGTCCATGAGAGATGCGCAGAACGTTCACAGATTTACGAACATTCCACGTCTGACTCGACGGGAAAGTCAGTTCTGGGGTAAATCAATTCTGCAGTCGATGCTCCACTCGAAGTGTGGCTTATGGGGGTCTCAGGGGGGCTAATGTGGGGGCCTCTTGGCCTCGCCGACGCTCCCCCGGTCCACCCGGGCGCTCCCCGAGGCCTCCCGCCCGTCTCGTGGCCCTCCTTTGCCTCCGTGCCGTGCACGCCTCAGCAGAGTGCTCGTTGGATTCTCTCCCTAAGATCGGGGGCGGCAAAGAGGGGGGTAGTGACTGGGGGGGGGGTGGATATCATGGCGGTGGCCATGAAATCTCCCCGGATTTGATGGTGCCTCGTCTAATTTCAAGAAGTCCCTGGCCCTCCCCCCGGGCCGCGCACACGCCGCCGGCCATGATTTGCGCCCCCCCCTTAGACACCCCCCTTTGGGCCGCCCCCGATAAGAGCAGACTGCACGGGCCAAGAGCAAGACCGACGGACAACCTCTGAGGGGCCACGGCCCCGCCGCCGTCCTCTTTGGGAGGCGCTCCCCGAGCCTGCGTGGAGCGGAGCCGGCTGCGATGAGAGCTGGGATGGGTTCGGCAGGGCCGACGTACGGCAGGTTCGCGTCGTGTCGACCAGCGGCGACCACAGCGTGGGCGTTCAAGGTTGAACGCCGCTGGCGACCCAGAATCGATCGACGTTGAACGATCGGACGTTGCGGCAGTGGCCGATCGTTCAAGGTTGAACGATCCCTGCGTTGTCAAAAACCAACGCTGGAGGTGGCACGACACGAACCTGCCGTAGGCACGGAAAGGAAGGAGGGGCGAAGGCGGACGACAGTCCCTGCCCACTTGGAGCTTCACTCGCGGTCGGCGTCTCCGCAGACGTTGCCCATCTGAGGCACCAGGGCGCCGGACCACCAGCGGCCGCAGTCTGGTTTGGGCAAAAGTTGCTGTTACCCCATTTGTCCGTAGCAGGAGGGGGGGGAGGAGGAGGAGGAGGAGGAGGAGGAGGAGGAGGAGGAGGAGGAGGAGGAGGAGGAGGAGGAGGAAGAGGAGGATTTCGGGCGTCCACATGGCCGGCAAGGCCACCGTGCCGGCGAGGCGAGCGGGAGTGTGGCGTGGGGAATCCGGCCACCGAGGGCTTCGCGGGAGGCGCCGCTGGGCGCCTCTCTGGGAGCGTCTTGGGCTCTCCGGGGGCGGCTTGCCAAGTCGAGTGAACTTTTTGACCGCTACGGCAGGTTCGCGTCATGCCGACGGGCGGCGACCCCACCGCGTGCGCTGAGGGTTGAACGCCGCCCGTGGCCCAGAATCGGCCCGTCGTTCAGCGATCCGACGTTAATGCAACGGCCGATCGTTCAAGCTTGAACGATCCCCGCGGTGTCAGGAACCAACGCCGGGGTCGACACGACGCGAACCTGCCGTACACGGGCGACGCAGCAAAACATTTTTTATTGCGCCGACGTGCGCGCGTAAGCTGCCCACGTAAGGTCGCGCGTAAGCGCCCTCGTTGCCAGTGTGGCGTGCCGCCCTGGTGGCCCGCGTAAGTCACCGCGTGCGGTCGCTAGGTCCTCGTGCGTGAGGCGCGCTCCCATTGGTCGCTCGCATGCCGCTTCGCCTCCAAAAAGACCAGTCCCCCTCGAGGGAGAGAGAGACCGGGGGCTGGGTCAGGAGAGGGGGCTCATCCACAGCCCGCCAAGGTCGCGGCGTGGGGGCTGCTCTCAACCCACCGTCCCGCTGTGAATTGGGAGAACCCTGCACGGAGGAGGAGCCTGTCGGGTCGGATGGAAGTGGGGGGGGGGTAAGGGAAGGGGGGTGGTGCGAAGTCTGCTGCATGCAACTGGCTTCGGCCCTGTCACCAGGCGCCCTTCCTCGATTCGCCGGCGCTTCCCCGGCGCCGGAAGGCACTGGGAGAACAAGCTGCGTGAGCCTCCGTTCGGCGGGGTAGGGCTGAACTCCTCGATCTCGCTATTTTTGCTTTCACCTCCTGTGCGCGTGCCTCGTGTGGCCGCTCGTGCCCCTGCAGGGGTCAAGAGATGCCTCGACCCTCCCAGGGGCCGGCGAGCTCAGGACAGCGCGTGGTGCCCAGCTGCGTGAGCTGATCGGGTAACCCCCCCACTCCCCGCCCCCCCTTGCGTCCGACCTCGTCTTGGGGCCACCGTGGGGCCTTTTGGGGCCTTGCTGGGCCGTCTCAGGCTGGGCCTGGGGCAGCCTGCGGCCGTCTCGTGGCGGTTGGTCGCTCTTGGTCCACCTCGGGGCGTCCGCGGCGGTCCGGAGCCGCTGTTCGTCTTCTGGGTTTCGGGGGTCCGCAGGCAGAGTTGGGGCTCATGAGCAGGCACTGATCGACTGCACAAAATCCTCGGGCGACCGCCTCAGGACTGAGCACTGAAGACCCCGGGCCTCCAAAGAAACCCGTCCCCCTACCACACGCACAGTGCCCTCAACAGACCCCTCGAGGCACCAATTGACAGGCAACCCGAGCATGAAGCAGTCGCCCAGAAACTCGTCGCCCACTCGTGCGCCACACCTCCGGGGAGCGGCCGATGGTGCGCTGTCGGCGTTCTCGATCGACGGTGGCAGACACTCGGGCAAACTTATCTCGCACGGCCCCCGCCGCAGGCGGGAGCGGCCGTGTCTGCAGGGTCGCGCCCGCCTGTCTCCGGCCTCCCAGGCGGAGTCGTCCTGGGATTCTTTTTATTTGGGACCAACTCTTGGGGCATCGCTCGGAAGTGTGCACTCTTCGGCGAGGCCAGCGCCAGGAATTTTGGACTGTCCGAGGGCATCTTGGAGCATCCTGGGCGGGGGGAGCAAAAACGTGCGCGAAACGGAACAAGGCACGGGGAATGGGCGTCCGAGCGATGGCAAGAACTTGCGCCTTTCTTGAGGTGTCGCTGCTCTGCTGGTTTGTCATTGCGCTGTTGCGCTCTTTCTGCGTGTCAGCTGCTGTGCGCTAGCCCGTGTGCGGCGCGGAGGTAGCGTACGCACGCGCGCGTCTCTGCGTGTTCAGCCCGTCGCGTCCGGGCCCGATCTGCTTGAGGGCAATCAGTGTCTGGAGGGGGAGGAAGGGCTTGCCCAGCGAGGGTGGGGCGGGGCAGGCTATCCGCCGCCGCATGACCCTTGGTGCCCCGCGCGCTCTCTCTCTCTCTCTCTTTCTTCAGACCCTCGCATCTGTCCGATTTCCCTTTCGCAGCGTGCTGCCATCGTGCACTTGGCATGTTCTTCGTCCTCCGCGCTTGTTTTTGGCGTCCGGGAGGGTGAGGAGGACGAAGGCAAGGACGTGGACGAGGCGCATGATGATAGGATGGTGCTGATGAGGAGGCGGGGGAGGAGCAGGATGAGAGCTAGAAGGAAGGCGCAAGTTGCAGGATGAGTGGTGGTGATGGTAGTAGTAATGCTAGTACTGAGTAAGAGGATGGGGAGGAGCAGGAGGAGCAGGAGGAGCAGGAGGAGGAGGAGGAGGAGGAGGAGCAACCCACGACTCGTCACAACGGTGCTGCAGTGCACCCTCCCGTCCCAATCCTCCCCTATCAGCTTGTACACGCATTCTATACAACTGCACGGAGCGCCTCCCTGAACACGCGTGGCTCTGCGGCCCGCAATTCGGCGCGGGAGCTCCGATTGGAACAGAAGAAAACAACGCCATACACATACACGAAAACGAAAACAACGCCATCGACATCGTTCATCGACAACGCAAGAGAACATAAACGAAGAACGACAACATGTCTTCCATCATTACATCGAAGAAGAAGAAGACAACGCCATACACATAAAAGTTTGACGCTCCGCGCGGATTTCTTGGATTCGCGCTGGACCCACCCCCAGCGGCGCCTCTGGCAGCGCGCCAGGGAGTTTATGCACATGCCGTTTTTCATCTTCTATTCGAGCTATGAGCGAACGAGCGACCACCTCTGCGGACAACCGTCTGGGGCTGACTAAAACCAGGTGGGCCAGGCCATCGCCGCAGTGATGAAGACCGTGTGTCGGAACCACGATACTGTGTCGGGACGTCTGATGAAAACCGTGTGTCGGAACCACGAGACTGATAGTAAGTTATGACGGAGCGGACGAGGATGAGGAAGTCCAGGTTGTCGATATCGACGTGCGTTGGAAGTGTCGTCATCCGGTGTCGGAGGAGCATTGCCCAAGTGAAGCTTTCTGTGGCCGTGCGAATCCAAGAACGATCGTCAGGTCGGCCTTTGGTAGCCGTAGGTGTGGGCGCTGGATGCAGTTCGGGTCCGCGTTGTTGAAGGTACATGATCACGTCGTCGTCCCAGCGCTTGCGTTGGCCGCCCTGCTGTTTCCTGCGGCAGTGCTTTCCATGTCCACCTTGTGTGCTCGTGGCTGGCGTTCCCTAAAGCGTCGTCGCCCAGCTGTCGAGCAGGCGATGCCTCATCAGATTGCGCGCAGAGTGCGTAGAGCGTTCAGTGCAATCCACCCCAAGCCATATGACTAAATCTGCGGTGTCGTCGTCGCACTCGCTGCGCTGGTCTGGCGCTGTGGTTGCGCCGTGCTGAGGGGAGTGCTGTCCGCACCGTCGCCGGTGCGGTTTGCGCAGGGGTCGACGTCCAGTGCTCTGTCGGTCGTGGCGTCGGCACCCTGGCTTTCCTGGCTGCTGCGGGGGGTTGCTTGGAGTGTGGTGCGCAGTCGGGGCGTCTTGATGATCGTGCGAAGCGTGCGTCGCCGTGTCCGCCGCGCGTGCGGCGGCTGCAGGGGTTCTGTGAGCGTCCATGCATCTGCTCCGTAGAGTGGTTGCTGTTGGTGTTACGGTGCTGTGCTTCGAGCTCTGTGGGACGCGACAAGGTGGGGTAATCACGTCTGAGGAAGTGCCCAGAGGCATGACCTTGAGGAGGAACCGTCCTCCGTCCGTGTAGATTTTGAGCAACCTTTACTCGTCTGGACAGAAAGCTAGAAGCCTCAAGCGAGAGCCCCATTTCAAAATGAACCGCCCTCCATCCGACGCTTTCCCGTCTCCTCCCTTCCCTCTCTCTCTCTCCTTCTCCCTTTTTCTATGGTGCATCTTATGTTGGGCCAGGGTTTCAACTTGTGTGCGCAGTGCTTTGTGTGCTCTCTGATCAGACACGGCTGTCCTGACGCCCCTGAACCTGAGGCACCTACAGTTCGCAGATGATGCCGAAGGAGGGAACGAGAAGGAAAATGCAAACGAAGAGAAGCGTGCGAACGGAGAGGAGCAGAATGATGCGCAAGAGGAGGAGAGAGCAAGAGGTGGCGGATGAGAATGCGAGGGGGGTTGGAGGAGGCCAGCGGTGAGGCGGGTGCGGAGGTGGAGGCGGCCGAGCAGGAGGAGGAGGAGATGGAGGAGGAGAAGGATGAGGAGGAGGTGGAACAGGTGGGACTGTTGATAATGTTGATGATGATGATGATGATGATGCTGATGATGATGATGATGATGATGATGATGATGATGATGATGATGATGTTGATGTTGATGATGATGATGATGATGATGATGATGATGGGGAGAATGAAGTGGATTTGATGATGCTGATGATGGTACTGACGCTGATTACGATGACGATGTTGATGTTGACGATGGCGACGGCGATGACGATGCCAGTGACGAGGACGATGATG